ATTGATGGAGAGATGAAAGATGGTAGGTATATGAGATGAAGTTGATGGTCTTTGTTTTAACTCATGGGGTTGGATTCTCTTGGCTAATCCTGTAAACTTATATCGTTAGCTCATGTTGGCTAACCCTCTAAACTCATGAGGTTGGTTCATTTTGGCCAACCCTTTGTTTGCAAAAAAGTCATCTTTATAAAAAAATCTTTATATATAGGGCTCTCTCTCTATATATATAAGTAAGATTCACAAGAAATGATGTGCCGCCCTAAGAATAGAGTATTATATATTTCTTGCATTGAGGTTGAGTATGTGTATCTCACATTGATGAAGAGATGAAAAATCGACAATTGATAGTAAGTATATAAGAGGAGGTTGAGGTGTCTTTATTTTAACTCACATGATTGGGTTCTCTTGGCTAATCCTATAAACTCATATCACTGGTTCATGTTGGCTAATCCTCTAAACTCATGCGGTTTGTTCATTTTGACGAACCCTCTATTTGCAAAAAAGTTGTTTATATAAAAAAATCAATATATTAACACAAAAAAAAGCTAGAAAATAATGAGATGTCATCATTAAAACCAAATGTTTTAAAATTCTTGCATTGTGGTTGGATTTTGGGTATCCACATTGATTAGAAATTGATATGTCAATGAGGAAAATGAGTATATAAGAGAAATATGAGTTCCCTTTGAAAAGTAAAAGGTTCATTTGGCTATATAAGCCATGTTTATCTTTAAATGTTTGAAGTAATGGTTATTTTTTTGTATCAATATCCATCATAAATCTTCTTTATATATAAAAGTATTGATGTGGCACCCTAAAAATTGAGTATTCTTCATTTTTGAATTGTGATTGAATTTTGTCTAACTTACATTGATAGATAGATATATAAAATATTGACGATGAATGGTGGGCATATAACAAGATTTTGAGATACCTTTGTGGCAAGTCATGAGGCTGGCTTCTCTCGAGCAATTGTCTAAACTCACATGGTTGGATCATTTTGACTGAACTTCCAAACATATGTGGTTGACTCATTTTGGTCAACCTTTTTTTTGTGAAAAAATTAATCTATACTAAATATTAACTGAAGAGATAATTTTAATATGTTTCTGAAAGTAAGAAGCGGAACCGTTGATGCGGCACCCTAATAATTGAATATTCTTCAATCTTGAATTCTGATTGAGTTTTATTATCCTACACTGATTGAGAGTTGAAAGATTGACAAAAATATAGGATATGTAAAATGAGGTTGAGATGCCTTTGTGACAACTCATGAGGTTGGTTTCTCTTAATATGGTTAGAGCATTTTGGCCGACCCTCCGAACACATGGGGTTAGTTCATTTTGGCTCACTCTTTTTTTGCAAGAAGGGTTAATCGATATTAAAAATTAATTATATATATAATCTTTATTCTTTTTATATTTAAAAGTAAGAACCACAACCATCAATGTGACACTCTAAGATTGAGTATTCTTTAATCTTGAATTGTGATTGAGTTTTGTCTATCCCATATTAATAGGTAGATAAAAGATTGACACTGAATGATAAATATATAAAGGAAGATTGAGATGTCTTCGTGGCAATTTATTTGGCTGACCCTCCTAACATAGTATTTTTTGCTAATCCTCTTTTTACAAAAAAAAATCTATATTAAAAGTTAAATAAATAAATTAATTAAATTAATATATAATGTTATAAGATATTGATGTGACAAATTAGAATTAATATATTCAAATCATGAATTATGGTTGAATTTGACTTGAATCTTAATCTATACTACCTTATAAACCAGATTTATCAAAAGTCTTAAAAACAATTTTTAATGCACAAAGTACTATACATTTATGCACAAAGTCTTAAAAGTCTTAAAAACAACTCATAATGCATTAAGTACTACCACTTTATGCATTTACTCTTAAAATTTTTTAATCTACTATTAAAATAACATATAGTGCAAGTTACTAATACACATCATTACCTTTTCTTTTAATGTTCTCAAGATACTTTTGACACATTTTACTCTCATACCTTTATGCATTCTCTCCATCCCCCAATGTGAGATTCAAACTGATATTCACCATTAGTTATTAAAAGTTCTTCCATTCATCTCTCATTTAATTGCTCTAGAACTCTGGGCCTCGCTCGCGATCTCTTGATTCTTTTGTAACACTTGAGATTTTCCCGTTTTATCTATTACGTTCATGTCAAGGGTTCCGTCTCGTTAGTGCTATTTATGTATTATAATTATAAGTTTATAACTTATATTTGTTAAGCCTTTTCAAAATAAGAAAGGGGG